TTTATTTTTATTAAACGTCTCCTCCCGGTCATGTTTACCTCATTGACATGCGCACAACCATTTCAAGCAAGCAGGCAGTATAAATAATCAACGAGTGAAACGCACGTACATCACTTGTTCGAATCCTTCCAATTCCGTGCTCTCCACATCATATACAGTCAGCACAGGTTTAATTTTAAACATTTTATGTACATATTAATACATACATGCACACATATGTATGTGTGTGTGAGTATTTTTATTTGAATTCAGGGATTTTAAACCTGGGATGGATTCACAATATTACCTGCGTGTTCTTTTAAGGCTCTGAAGAAAAAAATACTACTAAATTTGGATACCTCAGTTTAAGAATTGACCAGGCAGGTAAGTTAGATAAAAGCTTTTGCTTACCAAATTTTGTAGAATTCTGCAATGGTAGCCATGTTAAGAAACGAGGCAAGGTTTTCTTTGGAGTGTATACCAAAATATACCTTTTTCTTTGATGTATATAAACAAATAGATATATTTTAGGAAAATAAGAAATTCTACGAGACTAGATTGCCAGTTAAAATAATGTTTTATCAGATTATTATTGTTCTATGTGTGTGTGTGTGTGTGTTTTATTATTTTATTCTTTATTTTATTATTCTATCAGATTTAATCACTATTTTCAAGTTCTTTGTCAATGCACTTAACGGATTTGATGGTGTATAAGATTTTTTTGGAAAAAATAAGGGCTCAAAATATCTTCTGGGTTTAAATATGTAATGTTGAGGTAACGGATAGGATAATGTTTACCCAGACGCCACAAATCGCCAGTACTTACCCACACTTAGCCTAACTTCATAATTATATAGTATTATATATAATTGAGGGTGGGTATGTATGAAATTGAGATACGAACCATAAAATCTGCCGGGCTAGTGAACGCCGGATTAGTGAGGTCTATATCTATATCTATAATTCTCAAAATGTGTGTGTGTGTGTGTGTGTGTGTGTGTGTGTGTGTGTGTGTGTGTGTGTGTGTGTGTGTGTGAGTGATGATTGGATGTTGTTTATGCGTTTCCACAGTTTTCATCCGATTTTGATGATTTTTTTTTGTTTGGTAGATAATTCTTCAGTGCCGGTTTTGAGTCCAAATTGTTGGCGACAATGGCTCTCCACTACTTCCTGTCCATTATAATTCTCAGTAACGTTTTACTATTTACTATCTGTTCTTGGATATATATCTTTCATAAAAACTCTAATAAAAATAAATACTTTAAATTATTACAATAATATTATCTATATATCTATAATTCTCAAAATGTATATGTGTGTGTGTGTGTGTGCAAAAGTGAGTGTGCATGTGTGTGTGTGTGTGTGTGTGTGTGTGTGTGTGTGTGTGTGTGTGATCGGATGTTGTTTAATGCGTTTCCACAGTTTTCATCCGATTCCGATGAATTTTTTTTGTTTGATAGATAATTCTTCAGTGCCAGTTTTGAGTCCAAATTACACATTCCCCTCTGTTGGCCAAGGGTTCAATCTCTCTCAAGTGAGCTTACCTTTTCCGTTGCATAAAGCCTACTACTACAGTTTTAAGGCGTTGCTTTCATTTTAGTTTATAACAGTTCCCAATTTAAATTTTTTTATTGTCCTGCCAGATTTTGCATTACATTCACCGTAGTAATAAGTAAGCTTGCTTTTTTATTACTCAACATTTATTTTTCCAACCTTTCCTAAAGTTATTCGAGCTTAGTGATCCCTGAAGCTTTACAGCGTTCACTTTTGGTATTTGCCCACGCATTCCATTTGACAATTCATACTTGCCTAAGACATGCCACGAAAGAAAAGAACTTACCTTGGTTGCAAAACCGCTGCCGCCAGGTCCGCCATGCTAATAAGAGATAACGAATCGTCTTTAGAACGTTCAGTTTGCCTGTCTCAAAACGTCTCTTGGAATGCTTTAATCAGAACCACTGAGTCCGAAGATCAACGTAGCCATTGGCTTTCCAGAAGAGCATACCTGAATGCTTCTGCATGCGAGGCTGAAAATGATGATCAAAGGACTCAGCGACTGAGGAGAAACGCCTCTTCAACTGCTGCTGTGCGTGAGGCTAAAACAAGATTGAAAACACAAAAACTGACCTTTTCAGCCCTCCCCCCGTTCAAATTGTTAACCACCCCATTTGGGGATGTGCCTCAGTTGCACCCAATTGTTGTTACTAATATTGATTTCCGGTTGGCTGACTTTAAACTTAAACTGCTCCAATTGAACGGCAAAAATTACTAGTAATGAAAGACCTGGTCGAAGGCGGGTTATACTGCTAGTAAATTTATATGTGTTGTACACTAACACACATATACGTACTGATTAAGTTTAACCAAGTCTGGAAAAATTTTACTATTGTAGGGTACCCAGTGAGGATAAACTTCATGATAGTAGTAATGGTTAGTGAGATTAGCATGCAAAATGGTGTTAGCCAACAATGTACTTGTACTAATTTATTTGCATGTACGCAAATTAGAATAAGATGAGGTGGGGTAATGGTTGGCATCGCAGAAAATGGAATTGGTGAACAAAGTTCGAATCTCGGACGAGGTTACTAATATTTACTTTAACCCAGACGCCATAGACTGGCAGTACTTGGACCTAGCCTAGCTCTGTAATATTAGAAGTAAAATGTTAGATCTGATGTACCATCAATATGGTAACTCATGTTGAAAATGAATCATATTAGCTGATCATTATATGATAGTGACAATTTTAGATAAAAATTCAACAAATAACTATAACTTTCAGGCTACGAACTTACTGATTGACCCTCGAGTTGCATAAAAGTGATTATGTATCTTATGTCAGGATTGCAAATCCGTTTCAAGTGAGATGCCTTTTGTGTATGAAAATAGTCTTTCGGTTCTTTGTTTGTAATAAATTTTACTTACTGAAACTTCTGAAAGTATTAACTTTGGTAAAATGACGAAGCATGCGTGCTTCGTCAGGATGTAGTCGATCATAGCTCTCCTTATTTTCCTATCCTTTGTAGTTTTTAGTAAAGTTTGTCTTTGCATGATCCCTCCTAATCCCTGTTCCTTTTATGTGCCATTTTCTTTTCATGACGTAGGCGATCATGGCGCTCCACCACCTCCCTCTATCCCTTGCAGCTCTCAACAAGTCGCTTCCCTCTGCTACCTCCCTCAGACCATGTTCTGTCATCCACTTGGTTAAGTCCACCAGATATGTCACGCGTTGTTTTCCCTTGTCTCTCTTTCCCTCTATTCGACTCGTGAGTATCAGATTCTCCAGCCCCTCCTTCCTCATTATGTGTTCCAGAAACTTCAACTGCTTCTTCCTGATATTGTGTATACGTCTCCTCCTTCTCGTTTGCAACCTTTCTAAAACCTCATCGGTGCTCACATGCTCGGTTCATGATATCCTTAGCATCCTTCTGTAGAACCATATCTCCGTCGCCTCTAATCTCTTCTTCATCTTTGAGGAAATCATCCAACATTCGCTGCCGTAAATAAGGACAGATGTCACGTAACAGTTCAGTATTCTTTTCTTTGTTAGCGAAGAAATTCTCCTGCCTCGCAGTACGCTGCCCAGCTTTTGGACTATATCCTTGGCCATCCCAATACTTATACGATTCCCAGTGTTCTACAAAACCATTTACACGAGCTCTTCATCCTCCTCCTCTTTCTTCTACGTGCCGCGTCCCTTCAGAACTTGAGCAGTCATAGCTCTCCACAGTTTCCTGTTCTTTGTAGTTCTTAGTAAAGTTTATCTTTTTGTTGTCTCTCTTTACACAAGCTCGTTATGTAGTTTATTCGATACATTCATCTATCCCTCTTGTCCTGTGAGTGTCAAATTCTCTAGGCCTTATTTCCTCATTATGTATTCAAGAAATTTCAACTGTCTCTTTCTGATGCGTTCTTTTTGCTTCCATTTTCTCATAATGTTCGACGTTGCTCACATGTTCGGTCTATTGTATTCTCAGCATCTTTCTGTAGAACGACATTTTTGTTGCTTCAAGTTTCTTCTTCATCTGTGAGGAGACTGGCCAGAATCCACTGCTAGATAGATAGATAGATAGATAGATAGATAGATAGATAGATAGATAGATAGATAATGAACAGACTTAGATAGATAGATAGATAGATAGATAGATAGATAGATAGATAGATAGATAGATAGATAGATAATGAACAGACTGAGATAGATAGATAGATAGATAATGAACAGACTGAGATAGATAGATAGATAGATAGATAGATAGATAGATAGATAATGAACAGACTGAGATAGATAGATAGATAATGAACAGACTGAGATAGATAGATAGATAATGAACAGACTGAGATAGATAGATAGATAGATAGATAGATAGATAGATAGATAGATAGATACGCCTCCTCCTATTAGGTGGACCGAAATCACGTAACAATTCTTTATTCTTATTTTTTTGTTTCTAACGAAATTTTTATGTTTCTTAATACTTTGCTTAGCTTTTAGAAGGCACCTTTCTCAGTACCAATGCGCCTTCAGATTTCAGTGTCACCTTTTTTTTTCTTTTTGGTTTCTAACGACATTAACAAAAAAGAATCGATAATAGCAATCATAAAGATTTCTATTTCCGCTGACGACTGACATTTTCGGCACACATCGACATCCGGGAAATGAACGAGTCGCGTACGTCTTTATATATATATATATATATATATATATATATATATATATATATATATATATATATATATATATATATATATAACTATTACTTATTTAAAAACAAAAACAAAAAACAACAGCGCTGAAAACAAAAACCAAAGGCGATAAAAAGCTGATTTAGGCCGATTATAGGTTGTTTCAAGAAATATTAGACACCAGGAATTTAAAATTTAAACTTAAGCAGCATTGTACGTTAATGTTTCTCACAATCTATAATTATTTAACGAATTTAAACTCGCTTTTGCTAAGACCCGGGGCATATTTTTGAGTCATTTGCTGTAGGAATGGGCATATACCATCAGGTTCCATTTCTTTGCGGCCAAATCAGGTTGAAACACCGGTTCCCGTACGATCACCAAAGTTAAGCAACACCGAACCTGGTCAGTACCTAGATGGGTAACTGCTTGGTAATACCAGGTTCTGTATGCTTGGATGTGCAGGTGGTGTAATGGATAATGCCTCGGAATTGTTAATAGGAGAGCGGAGTTCCAATTCCAGTTGGGTTCGTTATATTCACTCATGCGCAAATACCTTTGGGAAAGTAATGAATTCACCTCTTCTCCTCCCAGCTATGGGTTAATTAACTAGGACTTGTATCATTAAATCATTACTATCGCTAAAAACCTATCACCATCTAAAATGTTTTTGTCTTTAAATAACATTTGATAAGCAGTAAAAAACGAATCAATCAATGAAACCATCAAAGTGTATAGAAAAATCTCACTAATCCGATAAGCTTAAAACCAGACTACTTCCGGGTTATCGGATTTTCCGAACTGGAAAGCTTAGGATAAAATACGACAAAATAATACATATATTGTATTGTATTGTATTATCAATACAGAGGCTTCTATGCGCCGTGGGCATTCAGGACGTAGGCGATCATGTTCCTCCACGACTGCCTATCTTTTGTAGCTATTAATAAGGATTATTTTTTTGCTATTTCTTCTAATCCTTGTTCTGCTAACCATTTACTTAAGATCGTTAGGTAGGTTTTCTGCTGCCTTCTGTCCCCTTTGTCTTCAATATGCTCTGTGAGTGTCAAATTCTCCAAGCCTCCTTTCCTTCTTTCTCGTGTGACGTAGAAATTTCGGTCGTGTCTTTCTGATGTTAAGCATAAGTGTCATTTTTGTTTACATTTTTTTCTAAAATTTCGTCGTCGCTCACATGTTCATTCTATAGTATTCCCAGCATCCTTCTGTAGAACTACATTTCTGTTGTTTCATGTCTCTTCTTCATCTGTGAGGAGATTGTCCAGCAAAATAAGTCGGTTGGAAGGGGGGGAATGACATCATTGTTTTCTCTGAAATTTCTTTAAAATAATTTTCATTCTTTATTAAATAAACAATAAAAATCTTTATTAAAATTCAATTAGTTGCTTTTTTTTTTTTTTTAAATTGTTTTTTGTTAAAAAATAATTAAATTTTAAAAATTGATTCGTATTTCATTTAAAATACTTATAATGCAAATTATTATGATTATTTGTTTACAAATAAACAACTTTTCAATTTTTTCCCAATTAAGTGGCCTTTGTGGGCGCTAAATTATTTTAAATCCTGCAGTCTCTTTTCCGCAGACGAAACGTTCGAAGCCTTTTGTTATTCTATCGTTATTTAGATGGCAATTCTTCAGTCGAGCTAGATGTCCTAGTTCCACCATTTCAGATCTTCGGAGCTAGAACCCAACATGCTACGCAAACGACGCCAAATCATTCTCATTCTCTTCTTATTCCTTCAGTAAGAAATACGATCAATCTAACAATTCCCCCAAAACCTTCACTTTGTGGTACAGATTCTCGAGATGTTTCCACAAACTCTTCAAGTCTAAAGTCAACCGTTATCTATCTAGCCTATCCTCATGTCTTCCCCATCCCTTTACACTATCACAACAATCTCGTTCAGTAACCCTCTAGCTTGAGTGACTCTTCGGCCTTGCTTTGGATTAACAATAATATGAAAAAAAAATCACCTTTTGCAAATATCTCCGGTTCTATAAAAGTATACAATCCTTTTTAATTAATGATTTTCTCCGAGCTTTATTTGTTTCAAATGATAAAATTAACTAAATAAAAATATAGTTTCTACATTTTTCTTCTCACTTGTTGAGCTCTTGCCGATTTTTTCATAATTAAACGATCGAAAAATTTAAATTAGCGTCCTGAACCATAAAAGCTGCCGGACTAGTGAATACCGGATTAGTGAGGTTGAACATCTATATAAATTTATATATGTGGCTATAAACACATATGTACAGTAACACACATATACCGTATGTACTCGAGTATCATGCTACTTTTGAAAACCTAATTTTGAAGCTAATTTAACTACAGTAAATGGATATACAGTTTGATCAACGGCGTAGCCAGAGCCAGCAGTCGATACGCTAATTTTAGATCTCGTGTATGATGCAACTCCCTTAAAATTAGCTTCAAAATTAGGTTTTCATAAGTCCCATGGTACGCGAGTATATACGATGCGTACTGATTAAGCTTAGCCAAGTCTGTCACAAGTTTACTATTGTAGGATGCCCAATGAGGATAAGATTCATGATAGTGAGACTAGCATGCTAAATGGTGTTCTACAACGAAGGTCCTGTACTCATTTATTTGTATGTATGCAAATTGATAGAAGATGAGGTGACGTAATGGCTGACATCTCGGAAAATGGAATTGGTGAGCCAAGTTTGAATCTAGGAAGAAGTTACAAATGTTCACTTTGCATTTTAGGACAAGAATCCATTGTCAGATATCTTGGTAAAATATGTCCTCACATAGTCGACAAGGAAGAGTGTGCAAACGGTCAATTGGGGAAACTATTCTCCAATAACCATCTCAGGCAGTAGTAACAACCAAAAGCTGATGCATCTATTGTTAACCTTTATAGGGGTCAATACTGTAAGTTAATGCACAATCCTAAGATATATTTCGAATCAATAATGAATATATAGGGACATAAATATCATACATTTATTCTCACAATAATAAAATGTGTAGATAGATATGAAGAGATTGGGATAGATAGATAGATAGATAGATAGATAGATAGATAGATAGATAGATAGATATGAATAAATATTTCGAAGCAATAATGAATATATACGAACATAAATATCAGACATTTTCTCATGCAGAAGTATTCTCACAATAATAAAATGTGTAGACAGATGGGGAGAGGCTTCGATAGATATATAGATAGATAGATAGATGTGAAGAGACATATATATATATATATATATATATATATATATATATATATATATGTCATAAAAATATATATATATAAATATATATATATATGTCATATATATATATATATGTCATAAAAAATCTTGGCTACTAAATTAGACGATTTTTTCCGGTTTTTTATGTCATTCCACCTTAATGTTCGTATTTTAATATCCCCTCCCCTTTTTTTTGTTGAATAAATATTTGTGGTTTGTATGTGTTTTTTTCTTTAGTCACATGGTATAATTTTAGCTATCGCCTAGAAATATGCGTTTCACCTTGCCTCCTTAGCCGACTTTCCCTGACGATCCGTTTAGGTGAAACCTAGGTAGGTTTGTCTGGCTCACTAGGTGTATCTAGATAGATAGATAGATAGATAGATAGATAGATAGATAGATAGATAGATAGTGTGTAATGTGCATCTATATAAGTATAAATATATATGCAATTTTTAAATATATTATTTATATATTATATATGCGCGGAGCTCATTGGAAAGCGATCAATAACAGCGATACAGTTAACATATTTAGTTGCGTTGATTTGTGTCCCTGGGTTTCACGCCCTTTGCGATCGTCACACAAACTGATTAATTTTAAAATTTTGGATGTTGCGTATCTAGGTGTTTTATGGTAGTGGGAGGAAAAATTTTCATCGGAATGCCACTCATGCGTACGCAGGGTCACAGACTCACAGCAACGCAACTAGATAGATAGATAGATAGATAGATAGATAGATAGATAGATAGATAGATAGATAGATGTGTATGTAATAAATGAGTGAGAAGTGTAATCTAATGTCGTGTTTTATGTGACTTGATAACATCTGATAATTAAACTAAAACCTCTAAAACCTCTGAGTAGGCTAGGCATTATGATTTAGATATTCATGAGTGTGCTGAAAAGTTATTGACACCGTACAACAAAAATCATTATCCTGATAACATTTCAACATCCCAAAGCGTGCATGCATATATATATATATATATATATATATATATATATATATATATATATATCCAAGTATATAATTGAATTCCAATAACCAACAATTACTATTCTTAAAAGAGTGCTCAATACAAAGTAGAGCAGATATAATTATTATTTATAAAAAAATTATAACATAAGTATGTTATAAAATCACTACAAAAATAGCCATTTTGTTTCAACACACTCTGTGTCTTATCAAGTGATGATGTTGAAAATAAAATAAATGGTTTTAAAAGTTTCAGATTAATTAACGATCCTACACCAGGGGGAAACATTGTTACAAAAGCTAGAATAATCTATCAAAAACCAAGTATAGAAAGATTCAAAAGAACGAAATCATGTTATAATAGCTATTCAGATCTTTAAAATACGTGTAATATTAAAAATAATTTATACTAACCAATAATTATAAAATTATATGATAAAATTTAATATTAAAATTAAAAACTGGCAATTTTAAAATCCAAATTTAATCACTATTAAGTTTAAAACTACAAAATTATTGAGAAAGAAAAAAATATATATGTTTATTCAATTCATTTCTTCATTGAAATTACGTTCGACAAGACGCTACAATATATCCGGTCATTTGACAATACATGTATATATATTTTTTATTCTAAAGTGTGTGAATGTGGTCTTAAACTCACTCTTTAGTTAAGGATAGTCTAACCAGAAGCTATCAAAAAATTGATACTAGTAACTTCAATCAAGTAAATAATATTAACAGTATCAGTAAATCAATTACTGATAAGTTACGGATTAGTGATCGGGTAGGCAAACTACAAACTAAGGAAGCCTATGTCTTGTTAAAAGACCATAAACCCGAATTCAAAACTAAGCCTTCCACTAGACTTATAAACCCTACTAGACCAGAAATCGGTAGGATTAGTAAGACCATCTTAGAAAGAATCAACCACTCCATAAAAAACACCCTTGGACTGTTACAGTGGATTAACACAGCTGGTGTTATCAACTGGTTTAACAACATACGATATAAGGGAAAATGTACATTCATACAGTTCGATATTATCGACTATTATCCCTCTATATCGAAGAATCTTTTCACCTTGGCCTTGGACTTCGCCCGGGAATACTATA